GTTATCTTTTTGTCCTTTCTTTCACTAATACTAGCTCTGTGTGTGTGTGTGTGTGTGTGTGTGTGTGTGTGTGTGTGTGTGTGTATTGGACCTCTTACAGTAGAGGGAATTTTCAAATTGAGCAACAGCGAAATAACGTTGCATTTCCATGTCAGCTTGTTCATTTCTCTAAGCAATGCACTTTTAGAAATAAATGCAAACATTAGGGTATAAATTGCTTGCTTATGCCCTATCCAGCATGAATTCAATTTTCTAAATAGATAGAAAAAGTGATCTGTGCTATTTTTGTCCCCTCCTGCAGTTCAGTGGCCTGTTGAAAAAAAAAAAAGTGGATTTTAGACCAAACTTGTTCATTTCGGTTAGGGCAATTAAAGCGAGATTGAGTTTAGACTTCAAGTCGTTCTTCAAGAATGCTAGTTGGAATAATTGACCAGTTACACCATGAATGATGTCTGCTTTGAGATGGCAACATTGATGGAACACTAAGGATTTCCTGTGCTGTTACAGGAATGGTTAAATCAATCATAGTTAAAGCTTGAAAACAAGCAGGGTTGTAATAGCTTTTCTCTTGTTTGCGATGAGCTTTGAGGTGAAGAATCTTATGCATTATTGATGAATAAAATACATTGGAATAAATAAGTGTGGCAGAATTTAATACAACGTGTGGCATATTGCTGAAAAAAAATATGATAATAATAGGAATACGTCCAGAATTCAACAATAGCTTCAAACTCACTTTCCAAATAGCTTTGCTTGAGTTATTATACGAAACAGAAATATAGTGCTGCGTGTCCTTTCTAAAAATAGTTTGGAATACATAACATAAAAGAGAAATGTTCTAGTCACAACTGTACGGGTCAAACGAAACAAATGGGATTAGGTGACACAATGGATGAGAGTAAGTACCTAACAGGTTTTGTTGCTGTTGTCATAAAAAAATATTTTTGTTTACCAGAAGAAGAGATTGCTACTTAAGCAGCAATGACTCCCGAGTTTCTATAATAAATCATGAAAATATATATATATATATAAAATATATATTTTAAGCTAGCGGTAGTTCTGTGCAGGGGTGGGCTGCTACAGGTTTTCCCGGATTCGGAAGAACCTGTAGCTCACCTCCAAATCCCACCCCTGTCTGGCCCTGCCCACCCCACCCCTCCCTTCCACCTGGCCCCTCCCCTCCCAGGAGTCTCCATGCGGCCCGTTTTGGATGTAAGCTTCTGTGATAGCAAGAGGGTTGATACCCTCTGAGGCTGATATTTAGTGAGAAAATAAGAAAAAAAAGTTTAAATGCAAATGAAAAGAGGGATCTCTACATTTAATTCACACTAGGTAACACACATTTTCTTGTCTTCTTGATTTGAATAGAATCTACAGATAAAAACTTTGGCAGATGACGTGGTAAGATTCTCATATGTGGGTTTGTCTTCTAGTGCATGTCGCTTACAGTATATTGCCTAACCTTAATAATACATAGAGATGTATGATGGGCTCCTATTAATAACCACTAACATCCTAACTGGCTCTTACACTAGGGTCACAAGCTGTCACCTCCAACCAGTGAGAATTTATATTCCAGGGAAATCTTGAAATTAAATTGGTCTCCATGACAGATCAAAATTAAGATCTGAGTCCCAGCCCAGCCTTCCATGTGTTGATATAACTTTAACTAGTCTTCTAAAATGAGAATGTCAGAGATTTCATAGTGTGACTATTATATTATGAGATAAACCCAGGAGCAAAACACAGCACACAATACACAGACCCTTTAGACAATTAATAGTGGTTTATGTACAAATATATACAGACATATACATGGAGATGAAAATCTCTTACCACTCAGCTACAGACACAGGGAGAGAAATGAAATACATGATGAGAGAGAAAGAGAAACGCCCTCTAATGGCCACCTATATATAGACACCTCATTGCGTCAGCCTTACATTGCATCAGCTTACAGTTTATAACCTTACATCAGCTGGCAGCTATTAAATCCATAGTACCTGACAGGGAAGTAGATAAAGTTGTCTGATATTATGTTTTATTCTGATCCCAAAAATCTGTGCTTCCTGCATGGCAATTATGGCACCCTTAGCTATGACCAGGGTGGATAAAAATTGGTGATTTATTTATTTTTAAAAAACACCAGATTCTTAAAATTTAAATCGGAGTTTTTAAAATTTAAATTGGATTTTCCTTTTCCTTTTTAGCAAATTTATTTTAATAAAATGCTTTTGGAGCAAAATAGTTTTCTATTTAAGATACATTAATAAATTAGTTTATTCGGCATGAAATGGAGCTTAGCTTTGTAGCATGAGGATGTATATTCTGCAATATTGGGACGGTCGGTGAGTCGCTGTGGGACAGAGATGAAAATTGCTCTTTAAAAGTTGTGATTTAAATCGAGTTGATTTAAACCAAGCCTTTTTACTAGTGATTCAAGTCGTGATTTAAATCAACTCGATTTAAATCAAATCCATCCTGGCTACGGCTGACCTGCTTATTAAAAAACCCACACACCTCTATCTCCGATTCAACACATACTATAAATCCATACCTTCTTGGAAGGAATTTACCCATTGCTGCACTTTTGCACTCTAACGTGAGCATTGGATGTATTGCAATCCATAGTTTGTTCCAGTAAAATCCTACTGAACTTCACCAGGCTGCACCCACCTCATTCATCTCATGAAGGTTTCCCATCATCCAAATGGGCTCCCACCTTTTGCTGACCCTCGTTTTACTGAATGTACTCCAGCTAAGCAAACGCCAAAATAGATTCTTTTCTACTAATACATAACCAGGCATGCATGTAGTGCTGAGAGAAACAATAGATTAAGGCTCTTTGCCTGCAACGTTGCGCTTCTTAATGTTATCTTCAACTAATGTGATGGAGCATGTAACTTTATCTCATGTAAGGCATCTTTACAGCTGATTTGTTTCTGCGTTGAGACTGTACTTATATCATGGAGGGCCTTAAAAATGCCTTGCTTCAGGCCTTACAAAAAGAACTTCTATTCAGCTTATTAAACATTCTCCAGTTAACCAGTTTATGGAAATGATGCCCCTTTTAGATGGTGAGGTATGTCTCTGCAGCTGAAGCCGAGTGCGCTGTGATTATGTAAGAACAAAACTAAAGTGTTAGATATGTAAAAATGTTCTCAAAATCTAAGTGTTCTTTCTTTAAATACCTTGTTTTAATTTTATACAAGAAAGTGGGCTTTAGTATTGGCCTGAAAGACTTCAGAGAACAATGTGCTTCTAGAATCTCAGTCAAATTGTGCCTTAATAGCAGAGGAAATAGATGCAGAATAAGGATTGGCTCAGTTTAAACTTAGCTTTTCTTGCTTCAAGGGTTACCTGGTTCCTGATCTGGAGATTCTCCATTTTAATAAACCACTTATCCTGATTCTCTCCAGTCACCACAATTAGGTAAAACAAAACACATCAAGTACAGTCTCAGAAATAAGCGGTATGGCTTAATTTTTGGGCATGATCATTCCTGTGTCGTTAGCATGTGAAGCAACGTGTCGGTGCGTTTTCTCCTAGACATCTACGTTTAAGAATATTTATTTTCTTTTTGCAGCGGGACAGATTAACTAGTTTTAGGAAATCTGGAGTCAAAAAGGAGAGGCTACTTATCCAGCATCCCATCGACTCACCGGCCTCTATAAATGAATTGCCAGTGGCACAGCCACTGTTTGATGAACGTTCAATGAATTTATCGGAAAAAGAGGTTATGGACCTGTTTGAGAAGATGATGGTAAGTTTTAATATTCACAATGGACCAGTGGTGGGTTTCAAAAATTGTTCGAACCTACTCTATGGGTGTGGCTTCCTTTGTGGGAGTGGCTTGCCACCCATGTGACCGGATGGGAGTGGCTTGCCACCCATGTGACCGGATATGAAGATGCCGACGACACTTGTCAGAACCACCTTAAATTACCTCACACACAGCACTGGCATGCATAAGAATATGATGTCAACTTCTTTTTTTAAAGGCACCTTTGTTTTGCGTTAAAACAACTTCAACACACGCAATGTTCTGATTGCACCACAAACGCAGTAGTCATCCTTACCTTTCACAGAGGCACTGAGTTTGATAAATAGGAGCATGATAGTGTAGAATAATCATATCTAAGGACCAGTGGTGGGTTTCAAAAATTTGGTTTGCGTTAAAACAACTTCAACACACGCAATGTTCTGATTGCACCACAAACGCAGTAGTCATCCTTACCTTTCACAGAGGCACTGAGTTTGATAAATAGGAGCATGATAGTGTAGAATAATCATATCTAAGGACCAGTGGTGGGTTTCAAAAATTTGGTTTGCGTTAAAACAACTTCAACCGGTTAGAAGAGGTTCCACCAGTGGACCCGGAAAGCAGGCCACACCTACAGAAGAGGTTCCAAATTTTTTTGAAACCCACCACTGGTCCT